ATTTGTCTTCTTTGCCTCTGATGGGTTTATCATTTTATTGTATTTTATTATTATTTTTGAGATGGAGTTTCACTTTGTCATCCAGGCTGGAGTGCAGTGGTGTGATCTTGGCTCACTGCAACCTGTCTCCCAGGTTCAAACAATTCTGCCTCAGTTGCCTGAGTAGCTGGGATTACAGGCACCCGTCACCACACCTGGTTAATTTTTTTTCTATTTTTAGTAGAGATGGGGTTTCACCACGTTGGCCAGGCTGGTCTGTCTGGAACTCCTGATCTCGTCATCTGCCCACCACAGCCTCCCAAAGTGCTGGGATTACAGGCCTGAGCCTATTACTACGTTTTTATTACACCCAGCCTATTACTACTTTTTAAATAAGTAGACTGATCCTTTGATTTAATCGTAGTTGATCTATAAAGGTACAGGGGAAAGTGCTGCTGGGATATGCTTTCAGACTTTATCCCTGTTCTATTTTTTTTTTTTTTTTTTGAGACGGAGTTTTGCTCTTTTTACCCAGGCTGGAGTGCAATGGCGTGATCCCGGCTCACCGCAACCTCTGCCCCCTGGGTTCAGGCGATTCTCCTGCCTCAGCCTCCTGAGTAGCTGGGATTACAGGCACGCGCCATCATGCCCAGCTAATTTTTTGTATTTTTAGTTGAGACGGGGTTTCACCATGTTGACCAGGATGATTTCGATCTCTTGACCTTGTGATCCACCCGCCTCGGCCTCCCAAAGTGCTGGGATTACAGGCTTGAGCCACCGCGCCCGGCCTACCTGTTCTATTAAATGAGCAAACAGAAGGGATATTTAGAAGTGAGAAGAGTGCTATGTCCCTGAAGAGTCAAAATGAGAAAGAACTTCTACAAGGTCCAAAGGACCTCTTAATTCTGTGGAAACTCTCCAGTTCATAATTATATAGTGTAGAGTGGGTGCTCAATAAATATCTAGGAAAAGAAACCATGGGCGATGGAATTGTAAGCCATACAGTGTGTGTTACTTATCCAGCAGAGGATGTTGAACACGGCTGAGAAGCCAACCAGAGAACATTGAGAAGTCAAACCAAGACACTAGTATAAACATGAAGATGGGGCTTGGGAAAAGCATTTAAATCTTTCTTTTGCCTATCAGTTATTACATTACTGTTCTTCAACTATTATAATCATTTTCTTTGGAAGACAATGGTCGGATCAGAGATACATTCTAGTACTGGCAACACATCTTCTACCACGAAGAAAGAAGGCTAACAGCAGAGGTGCTAACAATATGAATGAAATAATTCAATTTTCTGGGTTTCCTTAACACAGAAAGGCTAGACCAAGAGAAGTCCTTGGAATCTATAATGATATAAATAAATAGCTGGCATATAACTTTGTTTATCTGCAGCCTAAACTCTGTAAAGTTCTTGGTGAAAAATGGCCAAGGAAACTGGGCATAGAGTAATTCAGTCTAACACGTATCAGTAGTTTCTGTAAATAGAGAAAAAGGGGACAGATATTTAAGTGAATGTTGAACCATGGGATTTTGGAACTAGCAGCAGCCTTAGAAATTACAGTGTAACCCTTTGGTTTTTACATATAAGAAAACAGAGGGCTCACAGATACAAATTCACTAGTTCAAGCTTCAAATGACTTAAGCTTCCTATCCCTAAATACCATGTCTGAAGCATTTAATTTTATTCTTCTCAATTAAAAAAAAATCAATGACTGGCTATAATTCATTTTGAAGAAGAAGAGTTTTGTTTTTATTGTGGAAAAAACACAAACCATACAATTTATCCTCTTACCCATTTTTAAGCATTTAGTTCAGCAGTGTTAAGTATATTTACATTGTGAAACATAACCAGAACTTTTCATCTTCCCAAATTGAAACTCTGTACCAATTAAACAATTTGCCTTTTCCTCCTCCTTCAACCGTTATTCATCATTCTACTTTCAATTTCTCTGAATTTGACTAGTTTAGATACCTCATATAAGTGAAATCATACAGTATCTTTTGGTGTATGGCTTATTTCACTTAGTGTTATGTCCTCAAGGTTCATCCACACTGTAACATGTAACAGGATTTTGTTCCTTTTTATGGCTGAATAATATTATATTGTATGTATATACCGTATCTTACTTATCCATTCATTGTTGATGGACATTTGGATTGCTTCTACCTTCTGGCTATTGTGAATAGTATATAATTATTTTCATGTATTTTAAATGCCCCCTAATAATAGAGATTGACTTCCCTTTATTCCACTAAAACAGTAGCCACGTAAATTTTAGTAATTCTCACAAACTATCAAATATTAATAGTATATAAGTTAAATGCATACAAGTGGAGAGATACAGAGTGCACTATCTCTTTTCCCGTAAAGGCTCACACATACCTACTTTTTCTCAGGCTGCTATAAAAGGATGAGGACCATGGATAAGATATCACTTTCATTCAAGTTTTAACCACTATCTAGGGCACTGGAGCAGATATTGTAGTGACTGACAATGAGAGAGGGCCTGGCCATGATTCACTAGCTTCTAATTTCACAACAGCACATTCAGACTGAACCACATAATAGCAAATAAAAATAAAATAAGTATGGTTTCAGAGACTCAACTACCACTATCCCAACAGCAATAAATTCAGCAAATTACTTGGCTTAGTGATCTACAAAAGGAAAAATAAAGTGTAAGCTAAGAAACATAAAAATGCTTCAACTCACACATATTAACAAAAATGCAGGCTACATGTAATATTAACCCCTTCCAATGATCTTTAATGGCTGTACATAGTATCTGCTCTTAATCTCTTACAAATGCATGTTCTTAAATCTGAGTGTAATACATCTACTATTTGAGTTGTTTAACCAAAAAAGCACTAGCTTAAGAACAGCTGCTGTGGTAGAAAAGAGTGAGCCCTGAAGAGCTGATGGGAAGATGGGTATGACTCCAACACCCTACGATTATCTAGAATTAAAGCACATCCAGTTTATCTTCGTACTGCACAATTACATATTATAGTGACAATATATTTTTTCATCTACGTACTTCGGTTACAGATACACCTTGCTTTGCTAGATGCAGTGCTGACTTCTATAGATGCATATCTTAGGAACCTCTTGTCTTTAGTAGGTTAACTAAACATTATTTGGATGCAAATTTAGTGCTAACCCCACTAGCCTACCTAAGGTAGTGGCTGGGAACCTCTCAATACAGAATAGCTCTTGCTTTCCTAGAGATCATGGATTCACCTGGTTAACCACACTATGCAAAACATTCCCTCTCCAAACCACCCCTCACCTTGTAAACAACGCCTGTTACACAGCTTTGCTGTTATATGAGAACCTACAAGAACTGAAGGGTTGCTTTGCTCTAATTAATGCTGATTGCATCATATAGCTGTAAAAGTAACCAAACTTTGCAGTTACATTAGCTAAAATCAGGTTTCAAGGAAGAGTTGATACACATTTAGAATTTTGCTGAATATTCCTGAAATCATTACCTTAATTCATGTGTTCAGGGGAATCTCATTAGAATCCAGAAATCCAGTTCTGGCAACTTCTCTGATGCTGCATTCCCATTCCTGTTTCCCATTCCCAACACTCTTTTACTTTGTCCTCTGTAGACATGTGGCTATGAAGCTAGCTCTATAACAAAGATTACAACTCTATTTCAAAATGCTTAGAAAATACTTTCTCTTTGGCGAACAGTAAATTTCAATGAACTATACAGGGAAGGAAGGTGCCCCAGTGATGCTGATGCTGCAGGTCTCTAGAAGATGCTCGAAGAGCAGGTGCTAACAGACAGGAAATAGTGACAGAAAACAATATACACTACAGTTGTTTAAAAACCAAAGGGGTGCGGCAGAAAACTGCAGAGCTACAATAAGCCAGGGAAGTTTACTGATAGTCATTCTAACTAATGCCTTACAAACAGGGTCCAGAAGGAGTATCTTTATTTAGAATAGCAAAATGGAGCAAAGTACAAAGACAAAAGCAACATCTGGCTGACTTTTTTGATCATGTTTCTGATGTGAAACACTTAACAATCCTTGTTAATTGTCTAGGGTAGAAATCCTTTGGTGCTTCTTTGCTGCCCAGACTATTTAAGAGCTATTTGCCCAGTCCTACAAACCACCCAGGTTTCTCCATTCTTTCCTGCTCCAGCTTGTCTGGACATAAAAAGCCTCCCAAACCTTTCTGATCTCACCTGGGAGGCAGACAGGGAAGTTAGGTTTAGTGGGGGTAACCCAGAACTTGCTTTCAGCAGAGAGGGAGAACCTAGAAGAGCTTTAAGGGTCAGCTGGCTTCACAGAATCGTCTTATACGGAAATAATGGCAGTTTATCAAAAGGTAGAAGAATGTCTCTGCTAATTTTGGGATATGAGATGATGCATGAAGTTGGAAAGAGATTCGAGACTGACAGACTGGATGGTAATTTTCCAGGGGAGACGTGGTCCAAGAATGTTAAGGAAAGAACAAGGGTATGTCTGGCTTCTACTGAGTGGGCCAGAATTGGGAAAAAGCGCAAAAGAAAGCTGACTGGCTTATTGCGAAAGAAAAGCAACCTGCCACTGCTTGAAATGAGAGTAATCCTTAGGAGCTGTGTGAAGGCTTATAAGAAATGCTGATATATCTAGAATTCCTCAGGGTTGTCACAATAAACACTAAACATCTTGCACATTAAGGATATGAAGGAAGAATGAATGACATCTGAGGAGAGTTGAAGTGGTCCTTAAATATCATGGGAACAAAATGGGAGGATTACTTAAGAGTATGTTTATCTTTCAGCTTCTACTGACTCAGGAGCCCATGTCCTTGAACTTCTGAGTTCACTCTAAGAAGCTAGAAGACCTGAGCTCATGCCTGGCCATGTGGCCTTAGACAAGGTTTACAGCTTTCCTGCACCTCGGTTTCTCTATCCAGAAAAACAGATCATTTTGGTCCAGAGATTTCTTTTAAAAACTGCAAAACTTACCAGAGTTATGGGAGGTGGGGAGGAGGGTATCATAAGCAGACTCACGTGACTGAAGAAGCTGCCCTCTGAAGAATGAGTGGAAAACAGGAGAGCAGGTTAGTGTTGTGGGTGGAGTATTTCAGTGTGAGCACTGCCTTTACGGTGTGCATGTCTGGCATCTGGAAAAGTGGCTGTGGGCTTCCTCATTGGTGGAAAGGTGAAGCTGGGATCCACGTGCACCAGGGTGGGTGGGCTTGGAGTCCAAATCATCATGTGGAAGAGAGACTTGACTGAAGAGTATCACAACTCAATGAGGGTATTACGTCATGATCTCCACCAGATTTCCATCTTCCTTTCATGGTTCATTCCTTCAGGAGGAAGACTGCGGGTGGCCAACAAGACACCCTGATTTTGGTAGTGTAGACTCTGACTGAGGTGTGTGATCTCAGGGAACATACTTCAGGCATTTATCTGGTCAGTGAAAACTTATTAAGAGCCAGCTCTATGAGGGATATTCTAGATCCTGTGGCTAGGAACAGGAAGCATTTGCATAACATTTAATGTATGCTAGCATTAATCCAGGGGCTTTGCATATGTTAATGTACTTGATCCTCACTACTACCAAAGAAGTAGGACTTACTTTCATTTGAGTTTGCATTAGGCACTGAGAGGTTAACTGTCTTGCTCAGGGTCACATAGCTAGCCAGCTGAGTCAGGACATAAAGGCTAGCTTTAGAGTCCATGCTTGTCCCCAACCAGTGGAGATGATGAATGTGACAGGAGAGATCCCTGTCCTCATGGTCCCTGTGGTCTTGCAAAAGAGGGAGAAAACAGACAAGGTCACAAGTGATGTCATAGTAGGTACTGCTAAGTGATGTCAGGAAAACTAAGGCAGGGCAGGGGAGAGAGTCTGTTTTAGACAGTGTGGTCCCAGGACAGCCCCTATGGGAAGGTGAAATCTGAGCACTGGCCTGCATGGAAGGGGAAGGGAACTACAGGAACGTTTGGAGGGACTCCTCCAGGCACAGTGTGTATAGGCGCTGAGATGGGAGCAAGAAGTTCATGGAAATGGTGAGAAGGAGAAAGAGGAGAGCAACGGAGGGCCTCTTGGGACTTCAGATCAGCTTCAGGTTTTATGTTAGGGTGCCATGAAGCAAGAGCCTGCAATGGGTTGAGCAGGGCAGCAGCTCCATCTTTCTTTTGAAAAAGATCACTGTGGTGGTGGTGTGTGGAAAACAGGCCATGTATGGGTTGGAGTGGGGCTGGGGCACCTGGAGGACAGGTTAGAAGGCTACCACAGGAGCCAGTACAGCGGACGGTGTGCAAGAAACAGACTCTCCACCATATGGTAGGCTGTTAGTCCAAAGGCAACTTATGCCAGCTTGCAGCCAGATGGCTTGGGGGGCCACTATGCCTTATACCTTAACTATGGTAAACGCTGCATGTGGATTCAGGAAGAGTCTTGACATGAAAGAGAAGTGAGCAGAAACTTCCCAGCTGCTGATGTATAACTGGTCCTCTGAAGGGATGCCAATGCTTTCATCCTTGAGGTGGTGACAGCATGCTGTTCTGCAAGGTTGCTGTGGAAGCCCTGGCCCCACAGTGTTTCCTCCATCAGGAAGGTGCAGTGGCCAGGCTGACCTGGGAAGGGCGCCCTTGCCCTGTATATGCCATGCTCCAAGAGTGTCCTGGGGGTAGACTCAGAGGACGTCAGAGGGCTGGTTTAGTCTTTTTGTTTTTATTTTTTATTTTGAAAGGGTAGTTTGAGCATTTCAAAACAAGTAGTGACATAGACAATTAGATATAGTGGAAGAAATGATGGCACAGATTTACAGTCCCCCTTTTCGAAGCAGTTTGTACTCTGTAAAATTTTACGCTAAAGATAAAACTTGTTTTGCCAACCTCTACACAGAGAAAGTGCCAAAGAACAAAATCTTTCTGAGTTTATGCAAAATAAGAACTCGGGCTGCTGCTGCTTCTATGCTCCACTGCTAAAAGATCTCATAAAATTCCACTACTGGTGACTGGAAATGTCATTGTTCTTGAGTTTTCAAAATGTTGACTCACATAAATGCCACTCTCAAAGTATATGCAAATGTGCAGATCGGTTTCTTTTCTGAGTACCCTACTGTCCTCATGGCTTTAGTTAGAGAATTTCTGAGGCCTGAGTGTGGCAGTTATTCTATTACTAGATAGCTGTAGAACTCAAGGATGGTTATGAGAATCCGAAATGCTATTCTAGAAAGAACTGTTACATTATGTAGGCAATGTAACAGGATCTTTAATCTTGACATAAACTGCCAATTATAGTTTCAAATATTGCTTCTCTTTTGAATTCTGTTTATAGGCAAGCATGAAGAAGGGTCAGAGAAAGATTATTGTCTGATTTAATGTCAGCCAAGTTGCCATCTCCCGATGATGCTAAAGAAGCCCTTTCAAAAAAGTACAGCTTAATTTACAAAAATGGTAAAGGGTTCCCCCTCCACACTTTATAAACACATGTCCTGTAAGTAAAAGAAACACAAATAGAAGCAGAAATGGAGTTTATTGCGTGATTGCTGCTAAGTCAAAGACAGTGAAAAGGGAGTTTTTTAGAGAGCGAGAAAACCCATCAGTGGAAGGTGACCTTAACCTCTGATGTTCTAATTACTCTTGTGGATGTATCAGAACATCCGGGAGACCCTTCCCCAGCACATGCTCCACCCACCTCATGAGAATGAGAAAAGCAAGCACAAGTCAAGGTGATCCCTGGCACTTCCACAAAATGAAAACTAAAACACCCTCCAGGGTCCTTTATTGTGGTCAGCACCCAAGCAGCTGTACTTTACACCATCTACACCTGCAGATACACCTCCCACGTGGTAACATAATTCAAGTTCACCACCCACGATGGTGTCTTCAAGAAAAGGGCAACATTCTGTTTATCCCAAATAACGATTAAAAATACTAGGAAAAAGAGAATATATTTATACTCTGAAATATATCCAAGTATATATGTGTAATACATCTTACAAAAACTTAGCTTTCAAAAAAAGTAATGCAGAAGTTTCTCATACTTAAAGCATTAGCTTTCCAGAAGGATATACTCCCTGGAAATTTTGGAAAGCTGATATTTTAAGTTCAACTTGAATTTGAAAACACGAGAATTCACCTTTCCATGTCTGTATTAGTACAAGGAACAGTTTCATGATCCTACTCCGTAAATCACCAACACTGAAAGCGCTGCTGTCTAATCAAGGGGGATATGTCAAAGTTTAGAGCTCTTAATGAAAAACAGTACATCACTGAACCATCTTACCTGTCGACGAATTATTCCAAGGTCTCTCTTGGCTTTATTCACCAGGGTTTGAATTTCTACAGGATCCTTTACGTTTTTATTTTCTCTGAAGGCATCTCTTATCCTCCTGACAGCATACGTTCTAAATGAATTCAGAGGAAAAAAAAAAAAAAAAGAAAAGGTGTCAGTGTGTCTGAGGCTATGCTTTTAAATGAATTTAAAAGCTTGTTCTTCAGAATTAACTGTCTAATCTTCCCCTATGGATAATCCACTTTGATCTTTGCTCGTGGGGCAGGCCAATCCATTAACATTCTGGGATGACTAAGCAAACAGATTTAGGAAAATAAATCTACTCTTAAAAAGTCACATGCAAATGGCAAACTGCTACTGAAATATTCCTTAGATTACTGGTTCTATAGCATTGTGCACATCTGGCTTGACTCCATTAACATGGATAATTGAACCTTCGATGTACAGAGATGAATCAAGAATTCAGAGGTTAGCTGCAATGAAAGACCCTGTCTCAAAAAAAAAAAAAAAAGAAAAGAAAATAATTTGGAGGTTAAATGATGATCACATTTGCATGTACCAGATAGTGACCTATGCTTTCCAATTCCTGTTCTATCTTCTGGCTCTCACTTCCCTTTCTGTGGTCCACGTTAGGATCCCACCACAGCTGAAACTGTGAAATTAGGCCAACAAGCTTTTTTTCCCACCATCTTGAAAGTGCACACACCTACCACCCACCCCCAACCAGACAGATCACCTGCAATACAGGACAGCAGTTCCAGAGCAAGGTTTGCAGATCAGACAGGCTTGGGTTTGTAGCCTTGCTCCAGCTCCTACTGCCTGTGTGAACTTGGGCAAGCTTCTTAATATTAGGCCATGTCTCCTCAACTTTCAAAAAGGCATAATACTGCTAAGTGTGCCTGGAATTTGGCCCAAAGCCTGTTATATGGAAAGACTCAATAAATGAAAGCTATTCTTAACACTTGTTATGCCTTAATGCAATTAGTATTTTCTCTCCTCATGCCATAGCTTTGCCTTCTTCCTGCACCCTTACAGTTACACCATAGTGTGTTTACAGAAGGCAGAGTGGTCTGGATAATTAGCCACAACAGACAACTCAGCAGTCCTTAGACATACTCCCACACTCAGATGGTCCACGTTATGGACCTAACTCTATGTCTACATCAACTACTCCAGATTGAAAGGCACAAGACTAAGGAGAAGCAGACTGAGCCACACACGTGAGATACCATTTTCTCTATTTTTTTTTTTTTCCTTTTTAGAGATGGGGTGTCCCTTCATTGCCCAGGCTGAAAAACAGTGGCATGATCATAGCTCACTGCAATTTCAAACTCCTGGCTCAAGTGTTCCTCCCACCTCAGCCTCCACAGTGGCTAGGATTACAGGCACCCACCACCATGCTGGCTAATAAAAAGACATTTTTGGAGGGGATGGGGACTTGCTGTGTTGCCAGGCTGGTCTTAAACTCCTGGGCTCAAGCTATCCTCCTGCCTCAGCCTCCCAAGTAGCTAGGATTACAAGCACAAGCCACAGTGCCTGGCTCTCTAGTCTTCTTAGTGATCACAAACTGCTCTGCTTTTATCTTTGAACACCAGTTAAAGAATCCATGTGATGCTTAGCAACAGAAGAATGGAAATACAGGCAAAGAAATGAGAAGATGGGAATATCAATTTCCTTGGGAGTAGTGGGGAGGGGGTATTGGGAGATTGTATAACTTATTGGGAAACCTTATTTTAGAAAGGACAAATTTTGTTTTAGATAAACTTTTCTAAAGTAAAAAGGCATTTTACATTAAAAAATTCAAATGTCAGGTCTATTTGCATTTAAAAAGCAAGAGTAAAACTAAATCTTATAATATTAGGAATCATAAAGGAGAAAGGAAGAGTTTAGAAACTGGTACTTTCAGAATTTAAGACATTGCTGAGATTTTGATCTTAACCCTCTGTGAACCAGCTGGAGTTATTTCAGAGGAGCTGCTGAGTGCTCAGTATCAATCTTAAAGGGCTATAGTGATTAAGCATGGAATCCACATACTAGCAACTGCCAGATAACTGGGGCTCATTCACTTCTAAAGGGATATGGGAGGATTTTACAAATAGACTACATCAGATACAGACTCTCCTCAGGTGCAGCTGCTAATATAACAAGATTTTAGATAGCAGCTAGGTAAATTAACAGCAATGTCTGGCACACTTTCTTGCACAGCCTAATGGCTATTTATATAACAACTGTATCACTGTTCTTCTTGACACCCACACATTCCTCCAAAGCAATTTCTTTTTTTGGCAGTGATGGCAGCAAAGAGAGAACACAATAATTTAATTCTAATATCTGTTCCATATGGAAAATTGGTTTATAACATGAATTTACCTCCAGGAATCATCTATTAATTTTTCATTTGGGATGCTGCATAGGCTTTTTGGAAAAACCAAACGGGCAATAACAGTCATCACTAAACTCATTTGTCTAAAAGCTAGTCACTAGCTTAGAACAGCTAGAAAAAAAGGAGTACTGCTTGGAATGTAAAGAACTAAGGTCTTCCAAAGTTTAAGGAAATAAGAAAATAGCTTAAAACACTCAACAGTTTATATCAACTGAGTTCAAGGTCCAGCGTCAGAATATTCTGCTATGTATTCCTGTTTGTCTTCTCAGCTCTCCAAAGTCCTTACCTAAAGAAAAGATGCTCTGGATCTTGGAATTAAATGTGTCTAAAGCAATCAAGAGTCGCAGTTCAAATTTCTGATGCACTTTTGAGATGAATGCTTTCTTGCTCTCTCTGCCCCACTTAAAGCACCAAGTGTTATTCTTTGCCCTAAGGGAAAATATTTCACTGGCTCAGCATCACAAAACTACCACTGCATGAACATTTTATTTCCTAGATGTAAGAATTCTTGTTTCAAATGATCACAGTTCTGTGAAAGTCATCACAAATCTTGGTGAATCTTCAAATCTGGTGGGAGAGGGTTAGCCGCCAATTATTTCAGGGCCCTGCCCTGGTTTTTACCATTTGCTTTTTTTTTTTTTTTTTTACTTTTTTTGCACATTCTGGCTATCAGCCTCTTAACCATATCACTGAACAAGAACATTTCAAAGAAAAATTTTCAGATGCTGCAGTAAAAATGGCAGCCAGCTGCTATATAATGCCTTGCATTAGAATGATCCTAATCAGTCTGATGCTGTCTGAAATAAGGCATGAAAACGAACACAGAAAGGGCAACAGAACCAAACACAAGGAAGCAGCCTGCATCCACTAAAACAGCGAGGTGATGATGATCTCACACTGCTCTCTCCACCCTCCTGAAGACTGGCAGTTTCTTGGTGCTTCTTTGTGCAGGAGATTCCCATTTGGCTTTCCTCCTCGACCCCAGCCTTCGTTCTTCATTCTGTCATCAGATCTCAAGTGCTCACAGGTTCTTTTTAACATTCCAAGGATTATACTCCTTTCTGAGATTCCTCCACTCACTCCAATTTCCCAGCTGCACAGCAACACAGCAGGCTGTAACGAAAGCTCTTTAGTACTTGAGGTTCTGGTTTACTCTATCCGCTCCCAGAAACACCAAAGGCAGCCATAATCACAGCCTCTGAGCACTTACAGCCTCATATCAGCTTTAGCATCCAATGTGTGATATGGAAACCAGCTAATGTAATGCCTTTCATTTCTGTCATCTTCATCAGTATCTCAAGTGCTGGTTTCTCTGTCTACCCATCCTATAAATGTATCTGTGCCTTTTCTTGCTCTTCTCCAACCTTAATTCAAGTATCCTAAGAACACTAAAAGCTCAATACTTTCTACTGGCCTCTGTGGGGCAAACTCTCATTTACTTCCAACGACTTGGAAGGACACATCCTCCACCTACTTACCTCAACTGAAATGTACAAGAGAAAGCTGCTAAATTCTAGCATGTCCCCATATTCCACAGGGCCCAGAGGAGGGTGCTGGTGTATTCTGGAAGCCTGCTGCTTTGAGATCTCTGATTCACCCTTATGCGTCTTTGAGGCCATGCCATCTGACAATACTGTGTTGCATGCCTCCATGACATTGTTATTTGTTAATTTCTGGAGGTCAAGTCTTCACATTCAAGTCTTAATGTCTAAAGAGGAGTCAGTGTAATGCAGAGACCACCAGTTTTAGGTTTATTATTTTAGAGACAGGGTTTCACTGTCACACAGGCTGAAGTGCAATGGTGCTATTATAGCCCTCTGTAGCCTCAAACTCCTGGGCTCAAGTGATCCTTCCACC